GTACCTAATCGTTGTATCAGGTTTACAAAAACTGAAGAAAGGGTAAAATGTACTGGCAATCCTTAATACGTGACACAAACTTTTCTTTTGAAACCTGTTTTTCAGGATCACACAGGATCGCAGGAACACACGAAAACGTATAGTTCCTTTAGTGACAGTTTTTTCTCGTATTATGCTCCTCTGATACCTAACCATTGTATCAGGTTTCCAGAAACTCAAGAAAAGGTAAAAAAAGGCAATCCTTTGATATATTATGCCCTCCGGACACAAACTTTAATTTTGAAATCTGGTTTTTAGGATCACAGAAACACAAGAAGAGGTAAAATTAATTTTCAAGAAGAGTGAACATTCATTTGCTGAGAGTTTTTCTCGTATTATGCCCCTCTGATACCTAATAGTTGTTTCAGGTTTACAGAAACTCAAGAAAGGGTAAAATTTACTCGCAATCCCTTAATAAATTATGCCCTCCTGACACAAACTTTTCTTTTGAAACCTGTTTTTCAGGATCACAGAAACACAAGAAGAGGTAAAATTAATTTTCTGACAGTTTTTCTCGTATTATGCCCCTCTGATACCTAATAATTGTATCAGGTTTACAGAAACTCAAGAAAAGGTTAAATTTACTGGCAATCCTTTGATACATTATGCCTTCCTGACGCAAACTTTTCTTTTGAAACCCGTTTTTCAGGATTACAGAAACACAAAAAGATGTAAAATTCATTTGCTCACAGTTTGTCTCGTATTTTGGTCCTCTGATACCTAATAGTTGTATCAGGTTTACAGAAACTTACTGGCAATCCTTTGAATTGATCTTGACATAAACTTTATTTGGAACCAGGGTCTCAGAAACACACAAGATAACATTCATCTCTCTCTATTACGCCAACTACTGCCACTTTCATCCTAATGCAACAAATCTTAAAGGAAACGCCTGCATCAGAGAATCCTGCTCGGGTTCCTGTGATCCTGACAACGTTTCAGGAAAAGTCCGGACGACAACCTATAAGAAAATGTCGCGGTAGAACTTAAAGATCAACTGCAAGTAAGTTTTACACCTGCTTTGATCCATAATCATAACTATAATCGATTATAATGTGTCTACCGACCTTATTATGCTCCTGATACAACCACTTTTTGCGTCAATATTCGCAATATTGAGTCAGTTAATAGATTTAGAGACCTTCTTGTGTTTCTGTGCTCCTGATACAACAATTTTTCAGAATAAAAGTGTACTAAAGAGACACAACATGCAAAAAGGCGTGATGATGAATTTTTATTTCAGGACACTATGTACGTGGACAGATGTCCTTGGCTCCTGTGATCCTCAGATAAAAGATCCTTGTATTAGGAGAGCATAATGTACGAAGCTATGTTGGGTAACAGACTCTGTCATTTCTGATGCAATAATTTTGCAAAGAAAAGTTTGTATCAGCAGAACATACCCTTTGAGACAGTAGGCACAATTCTTATGAGCTCTGAAAAACTCTTGGGAACCTTTGAAGGTCCATAATAAATCATCATAAATAGAAAATTTCAGTTACTCACGATTGTATTGCCCTGATAAGTTTTTTAAAAAAATTTTGAATCAGGATCACTTTTCATTGACTTAAAACAAGTGTCAGAGAATAGATACTGATACTTCTGCGTTTTTAGTGCCTTTTATGACAAAAAATTCGCATCATGAGCTCACAATTTAGAAGGAGGTGAAAGTTTCTGTGTTTCAGATATTTAAAGGTTTAAAATAAAAATTTGTTCCTGTTTAAATCTTACAACTATTTTACAAAATTAAATAATTAAAATTATCTTAATGATAATTTCAAATCATTTTTTATCTTGTTGATAATCAAAAAATAATTATTTTTATCTTGATGATAATTTTAATTCCATTCCGCCATTTAAAATTATCACATTTTTTAATTATCGTTGATGAGGTGAAACGTAAGTAAAAGGGTTGCTTTACTCTTGAGTTGTTGAGAAATGTAGCCAAACATTTGACCTAGCAAGATCTCCATTAGATCTTCAGTGTGGACTGGACCTGATCAAAAGTTATAGACTAGAAACCAATTTCGAAAAAAAATTCAAAGGGCTGTAACTTTTGAACTAGTAGCCCAATCTTGGAACTGTTTGAAATTATGGATTCTACAGTCCACATTCTATAAGAAAATTTTTTTTCCGGGTCGATCTGAGACAATTTTTTCTTCGGGGCTCAAAAAAAGGCAGTGTTATAACCTTCGTTTTTACCAAAAATCGACTACACCAAAATTTCTCGGGAAAACACTTTTTCTTATTAATTTGGGTGCGTAGAATCCAAATCAATTCGTACTTTTTCGATCAGACTTCTCAATCAAAAGTTATAGACTAGAAACCAATTTCGAAAAAAAATTCAAAGGGCTGTAAATTTTGAACTAGTAGCCCAATCTTGGAACTGTTTGAAATTATGGATCAGGAGCACATCGCTTATCGTCCTCAATCGAGCCAATCTAACGTTTGGGAGTTCGGGAGCATGAACGAGAAAAAGTTTTTCGAAACCCCCAGAAAATGAGAAGATGCGGCGTTACTTGGTTCAAATTTTCTGTCGCATCCTTTAATTGAGAACCAAAATCTCTGTCGAGATCAAAATTTAAGTTGGTAAAGGTAAATTTTTATGTGAAACTAACCGCCACCCAAAAAAAAGCGAGACACCTAAATGACTCACCAGGTGTCTGTTGATCGAAGGGTCCTGGGACTACTTGGAAAACCTCCCCGATGTCGGCCGTCGTCTCCTTCCCCTCGGCTCGCCTTTGCAGCTGATGTAACTGTTCTAAATGGAGATGTTTTAGGGATTTGATGTGTTGTAACAAAGGTAAACGATTCGTTGATGAGAAACCACAGAGAACGCAATGAAACACGCGCGGCTGTTCATGTCTGAACGAAGAGCAACGCTCCTCCAGGTACTTTAAAAGCGCAACGCCCGCCTCGTGCCGTCCGCCGGCGGCGTGAAGTTGGAGCTTATGCGCCGAATTTGTATAATAATCACAAGCGTTACACCGTATTTGTACACCACCAGGCGTTGACGCGTACTTCAATTTCCACTCGTTTCTAGGTCCACCTTCCTTAACATGGTTCACGTGTTGCAGTCTCTGTAGATGTTTATCAGTCTTACAATGTAGTTGGAAGTTAGCTTTTAGGTTAGTTTTGTACGTGCACAACTTGCAGACGTAGTGGCCCGCGATTAGTGCTAAAATTTCCTGCTCTCGCAACCTCGTCCGATCTTGCGCCAAGTGTCGACCTAAATCTTCGAGATTGTCCGTACTAAAAAGATTGCAAACGCAACAGTGGTAGGTTTTCTGCGGATCGGGATCCGCGGGTTCGGGCGGCGGCTCCATCGTGTCCGGATTGAGACCCATGTCGGAGTGCACGGCCATTTCGGCGGGACCCGCGTGCCCTGGCAGTTGTCCGCCGGTCATCATTTGTATCAACAAGGCCTGATTGTAGGCCATGTCGGCCAAAGCCGCTTCTGGTTTGTCTCCAAGACCCGGGTACATGCCGTAGAGGTTCTCCATGTGCTGCTGTGACTGTTGCTGGTGGTGCAGCGCGGATAGTGTCTGCATGTGCTTCACGTTCTGCTGTAGCACCAGCATGTTGTGCGTATGCTTTTCTGATGTCATGTGGATACGCAGGTTCCTCGCCACGTTTGTTTCGTAATTGCAAACGTCGCAACGAAAGCTGGGTTTGGGTTTATGGCCGCTACTTACAGGGGAGTGGTGGATTGGGGGAGCCTTTGGAGATGACTGTCGGGAATCCGTCGTGGGCGCTCCTCCGTTTTGCAACTCTTGCATGTTGTTCAAGTGCTTATCCGATTGCATATGTATACTGAGATTACCTTTGGTTGTGGTTGAGTAATTACAAACCTCGCAACGATAAGGTTTGTAACCACACGTGTATGTTTCACCCCGCGCCAGGCGAGGGTGGGGTTGACCAGCTATGCAATATATACAACTGGTCTCAGTCTCTGGATGCTTCTCTTTCATGTGAATTTCTAACGTTTCTTGGTATTTGTAGTGCCAATTACATTTGGGGCACTTAAGTGTTTTACAAGAATTTCTACTATGCACATTGCCCAGACCTGCAGGTCCCAATCTACCGGACGCCAAAATCATCTCGCACCTCGTGCAGTCCACCCCCGAAGGTCGACCCTGGATATGCTCGGGACAGACACCGATCGTGGTGCCCGACAGAAAGGCAGGAGGATGTACAAAAGGAGGGGACGGTGATTTTCCAGGCGTGGTTCGTGAAGACGTCGGCGGCATCTCGGAGGAAGGTGATGGTTGTTCGCCGCGTAGCAGGTTCGACGTGATGGAAATCGTACCCATGTGATTCTCAGACGCGGACTGAGTGGTACCGAGAGGTTCCAGTAGCGACACTATCGGTATCTTCTCGGCACCCACGCATTGCAAAATTGCCGAACTGTCCGCCGCTAGCACTTCACGTTCAGTGTCCTGTAGCGTAACCCCGTGTTCTGCTTGAGCGTGATTGGCAAACGATCGCGCAAAACCAAAACTGAGTTTACACACGAAGCACATTAAAATTGGTTTAATTGGTACCGATGCCGGCCTCGGAGGTCTCGCGTCCCTTAACGCTACGACACGATAACTGTGCACCGCCGGCGGTTCCGCCTGCCTTGTCGCCTGACGAAGTAATCGCGACACGTAAACAGCCTGGAGAGGTGGAACGATCTCTGGAATATTAGGAATCGCGGTGCTTTCATTTTCGCTCTCCGAATCTTCGATGATGTAAGCGGAACCGTCGGGGTTGTACACGATCTTGCCGGAGAATTGCTCCACATCCGATGTATCTTGTTGCGATATGCTTGGTGATGGTAGATTTGTGGACGGCGGCGGAGGGGGAGACGCTCCTGGTGCAGCAGGAGGCGGACTTGCTTCTTGCTCTGGGCTCATAATGGTCGATTCGAGTTTGTGCCGCTCTATGCGGCCGCCGGAACAGAGCTCAGGCGCCGCGGACAAAGTGGGCATCGCGGCGCATCACATGCTCGCCCACTGGACGCCCTGCAACAACAAGAAATAATCGTTAAAAAACATCATTTTTGATTTAGGAAAAAAGACATTTAATCAACAACAAAAGTGTCTTAAGGGCCCTCTGTATTGTTGCAGGATGTTGATCCATACTGAAGAGTGAAGAATTCCAAAATTTCAGAATTTTCAAAATGTTCCTTAATTTATGGCGACTGCGTGTAGCTTAATGGGTATAGGCCAGGAAATAAAAGCAAATGACGTTTTAAGGCACACACAGCTGCAAAGTTTAACAATAGCGTATTTATTTAAAAAGTTGATACAGTGATAGCATTCCAAATTAAAGTCTTATGCCGTGCCTCTCATGAATAAATACCTTTGTTATAGATTAAGGTGTGCTCCTTATACGCCGGCCATTTCAACATTGTTATCCAATCATAATCCTCTTTAATCGTGACCAACAAATTCGCTAAATTAATGTAAAATAATTAAAATTACCCAACACACCAAATCGTTCAATTTAATTACCTTTCCATGTACCCCACAACCTTTTGCCTTTCAGTCACATTGTATTCTAGTGCGAGCCAATTAAGTTTCTAAATTTGTCGAAACAACCTTGCCTTACTTCCCGCGGGGGGAAAAAAAGACGGTTACCGAAACGGAAACTGCATTATTTGTCCAAAGCTGATAAACAACGGTAAATATTTTAGAAGTCCGTTTACTTATCTACGGTATTTAATTTAAATATCCACGGCCATCGGATCTTATCATGGCAAATGGATAAATGTACCGATTTCCTTTTGCAATAACGTGGGAAGAAAATGACGCCCTAGACCTCGCCCTAGACTATGTGGTGCATAGGTAATTTCAATTTCAATTATTTATACAATGGACCAATTGAACGGCTTATGCGTTCGGGGAATTCCGTTCCAAATTTGGATTTTTTTCGATTCTCACTAATAAAGTTCAAAAAGAGGCACAGAACTATTTAACAGAAAAGGATGTAAACTTTTACCTAATCTAAGTAATTCCCTAAGGTTTATTTTATTTTATTTTTCTTTGTCCTTGCTAAGGGATTAAAAATTGTAATTGTGTATTTGTATTTTTCGTAGAGGATCTGTACATTTATTTGAGTTATTGAATTATTGTTTTTTATAATTTTAAAATTATTATTTTTGTTATAGTTTTTGGCATTTTGGGTTAATATACCTATATATAAACTACCATTTATTAGCTCTACTGGTACCTAATCTTAATTTAATAGTTTAAAATGCAGTTATTTTTATTTTTTGTAGTACTTTGAAATTGTACACCGAAATATGTTAGTGCTTTTGGGGTTATTCCCGTATTACATCATTAAATTAAAATTAAATTAAAAATTAAAAAATAAATTAAAATATCGAATTTTCCGCATTATACGCTAAAGTTAAAGTTATTAAAATCAGAAAATGCCCTAGATGTAATAGTGGTATCAATATTGATATCTCCGACAAGTCATGCATCAAGATTAACCGTTTTTGGGGGATTGCAGTGTCTTCATTCTATGATGCTGCTAAAACGGAATATGTTACATGCAAATGTAACACCGGGAAGTAATGAAACTCGGAAAGGAAACGAACCAATCAATTTTGCCCCACCAAACAAACATTCGTTTCGCGAGAAATCCGTATGGTTACCTTCGGAGCTCCACAGACACCCTCGGAAATGCATTGATGTGCAAAAATGACACAATCTAATGGAAGAATCAAAAAGAGACTAAAAGAAAACCAAGCAAAGAACCCAAAAAGTTCGTAAGATCTGACGAAATCCGAATAACATCACTTTGAAGAAGCTGAACAACTAAAGAATCGAAAAGTCCTAGGAACTTACACACTTAAAAACACTGAAGTCTCAGAAAAATCCGTGTGGGGCAGAATAATTTAGGAAACAAAGCATTTAAAGGGTCTAAAGGTCTTAAAGAACCTGCAGAATCGCGAGATTCTGAAGGATGTGATGTATTTCAAGACTTGAAAGTAGATGAAAATTACAAATAACTTGAACCTGAAAAATCTATAAAATCTGCATTACCTACCTTAAAAACCCAAAGAATCAAAAAATTGGAATAATTCGAAAGGTCCGAAAACTCTGGTTAATAGGAATAATTTGAAAGGGTCGGGAAATTTGAAGACTCGCTAACGTAACTGGTTTCGGGATATACGATCATCCCCGACCGAATTTTATCGCGTGTAAGATTTGCTTGGGTAAGCAACCCTAACGCTACATTTGATCCTTTAAGCCTTTAAATGAATTGGTGCCGCGCTACGTAATGTGTTCCTGTCCCAGTAAGTGCTACGTTTATTTCTTCAAACCTTCAACGAATTGGTTCCGCGTTACCACAAGGGTTTCGGTCTCAGTAAGCATTACATTTCGTCCTTCGAGCTGCTTAACAAATGGGTGCCCCGTTAGCACAAGGGTACCGCTTCCAGTGAAGTGCTACATTTGAGCTTTTAAATGAACTGGTGCCGTGCTACATTTATTCCTTCAAACCATCCACGAATTGGTGCCGCGTTACCACAAGGATATCGGTCCCTACATTTGGTCCTTCGAGCTGTTCAACAAATGGGTGCTGCGTTACCGCAAGGGTACCGGTCCCAGTGAAGTGTTACATTTGATTCTTCGAGCTTTTAAATGATCTGGAAACAAGAGCCAGGACTACGCCAAGAAGTCTAAACCAAACAATATCCCAAAAGGAGCAACGATTTTAATGTCCAATGGGAGAGCGATGGGAACAAATGCACGCCCATTCGCCACGATACATGGAGGGCGAGGATTCCATGAGTTACCTACCCAGCCTAGGTCACACGCACTCAGACTGTAGTAGACAGAAAGTGAGATTTAATCGTCTTATGAAACTGATGAAGAGCCCATGCAAAGCCCCGTGTCCATAACGGACGAGGTGGCGTTGACAAAATTGGAGATGTCGAAACCCAAGAGGCAGCCCTATCGCAGAAGGATGACCTGCCGTTCGCCATCCACAGACGGAATATCGGTTCAAGGTTTCCACGCGAGAATATGACGACATGAGGGGAGGGAAAATGCAGGGGAGGCACCTGCAGCCTCCATCATGAGGTGTTAAAAGAGCAAAGCTCCATTACGAGTGGTGTTTGACGCCTCCTCCACTTTTCGTTCAGGAAAAGACCAGAACGAGATGCTGCTAACTGGTTCAAAACTACAAGAAGATTTATGTGGCCAATAAGAACCTCCACGGCACCGATGAAGTTGCAGAAAACACTACCGAAAGTGGAGCTCGGTGGAGCAGTACTGGCGGCCAAGCTGTTATCTCTCAACCTCAAGACACTCATTCCCTTTCTGGATGCCATGGGACTACTAAGACCCAGATACGCTGTCTGAGATTCAACCACAGCACGGCGAAATAGGGATTCAGAATATACGATAATCCTCGACCGAATTTTGTCTCGTGTAAAATTTGTTTGGGAGAGCCTTGGGATATACAACCCTAAAGCTACAAACAGGTTTGTAGAAGATGAAAAACTGAAACCGTTCGAATAAAATGAGAAATTGGATCGTAAAAATATTAATAACCTGAAATCCTGAACATGAATTCTAAACAAATGAAGAAACGAAAAAACCCACAGAACCTACAGAAACGGAAATGCCTAAATAAACTGAAGAATCAATAGCATGCGAAAGGTCCCTCAAGAAAACTGAATAGTCACAGTAATGCGGAAAATCAAAAGTCTAAATATTCGAAGGAAATTTGAAAAAAAGGGGAAAAGTTGTTTATCGGAGACGTTGGTCCTATAGAAGATTAAAAGGGGGCTTGGATGGAATGGCCCTCCCCTTCGTATTATAGTCACTGAAATTTTTTTTACAACGCACCCAAATGCCCAAATTTGAACAATCTGAAAGGATATACAGATTATACAAATTGTTAAAGCTGAAGCGAAATCGGAAAGGTGGAATCGGAAGCATCCAACTACATATTTCCATGGGGCGGGGAAGCAGAATATGCAGTAAATTTAATGTAAGACCCCATGGATGCCGCGTTTGGAATAATCATTAGCTCAATTTGATCAGACATTTATGTGAATGGAGAGGCGAGAGGTTACTTCATGGACATAAAGCGTGAGCACTGGACAAGCAGACGGACAGTGGAAATTTTTGTAATTAAAAGGCGCTAAAATACTGTACGAAACACTAAAAAAATCCCTATGGTTTTAATGCTCATTTCCTTTCACTTATACACCTCGGAAAAAACATTCAATTTTGTTTAAAATACAACCCCTCTCCCCAACATATCAGTTTCCGCATAATTAATAAAAAATCCCCGTACGTTTCATTTTATTTATGCATTTAGGCTCAATTACTTAACCAAATGATTAAGGATAATCCACAATTATAAATTGTGTTCCTGAAGCAATAATAAATCCCACGGAGCACGGAACTAAATGAATGGGAATCTGTGCTAATATTTAAATTTTAAAAGGAGATTAGGCAAAAACGAACTGGTTTTCGGTTGTTGTTTAATAGTCTTGGAATGTCTTCAATACCTGCATGTGTAATTTTGACTGAGAAAACGAAAGTTCCAAGTTTGAAAAAGGGGTGGAATACCGTAATAGAAAACCACTCTAATGTTGACCATGGATAATTTCCTGCAAATTAAAATTCTAACTATATCATCTATAGCAACAAAAACAACGAATTAATATTCCGCAAGCAAATTAGATTCTCCATTAACGTGTGGCGAATAAGAATATTTCGCCGAAAATTCTTTCGCTCTCTTTTCAATTTCACACTAAATTCACCTGAAATTTACGCCCGACACTGCGCTGCTTTGAAACTTAAAACGAAACTATTTACCAATTACATTTAACGATTTACCTTTAATTACATTCTACGTTTCGTATTTTTTGAAATAAATCGATATTGTATTTCGTTTCGAGGCGTTACAAACATGATGTCGCCGATGGAAAGTAGGTGAATCACGTACGTAGACAGTTGTAACCTTTACAATAGACAGCGGAGAGGCTATCATG